CTGTTACCGGTATCATGTCACCCCTAAACCTTCTTTTCATTAGACTAGACCAGTGTTTCCCAACCTTAGCAACTTTAAGACTTGTGGACTTCAACTCCCAGAATTCCTCAGGAAGCCATTCTGGCTGGGGAATTCTGGGAGTTGAAGTCCATCTATCTTAAAGTTGCCACAGTTGGGAAACACTGGACTAGACCAACGATGTTACACTCAAGACCTGCGGGCTGGATTCAGCCTGCAGGGTGCTTAGATCTGGCCCATGGGGCTGCCCTGGAAACAGCAGAGGACCGGCCCACAGGGCCTCGGCACCAGTGGTGGGATTCCAAAAATTTTTACTACCAGTTCTGTGGCCGTGGCTTGGTGGGTGTGGCAAGGGGAAGGATACTGTAAAATCTCCATTCCCTCCCCACTCCTGGGGGAAGGTCAGGGGTGGGATTCTACTAGTTCGCACCTATTTGCTAGAACCGGTTGTTAACATTCTAAGCAGTTCGGAAAACCGGTTGTTAGAAGAAATTACTGGCCTAATCCTGTAAGGAAGGCAGGAAGGAAACATTCTGGTGTTGCTTACAGAAACTGCCTCTCCGTTAACCCTTATTACATTCTTGGCAGGACTAGACTTCCTGTCTCTGGAACTTCTCTGGAGTTTTTTTCCCTTCCTTTGCTGGTACTTTGCTTGTGTGGAGTGACCATTCAAAGTTACAGTGGCACTGAAAAAAGTGACTTATGACCCTTTTTCACACTTACGACTGTTGCAGCATCCCCACAGTCATGAGAGGCCAGGCGAGGAGATGCGTGCCTCGATGTGAGTGATGTTGAGTTGGCCACGCCCAGCCAGCCACATGACCACCAAACCACACCCACCAACTAAGCCACGCCCACAGAACCAGTTGTTAAAAAAATTGAATCCCACCCCAGGGGAAGGTTACTGCAAAATCCCTGTCAATCCCCATCCCACTAACCTGCTTCCCAGCTCCGTTCTCCTGTGCAGGGCAACCAAAGAAGACCCAACCGGGGACTTAGGAGGCAGAGAAGAGATGGGGGCAGAGCCAGTCAGAGGTGGTATTTGCTGGTTCTCCGAACTACTCAAAATTTCTGCTACCAGTTCTTCAGAACTGGTCAGAACCGGCTGAATACCACCTCTGCTCTGCACGTGGCCCTCCCGAGCTCCGTTTTCACTGGCAGAGGGTGCTCCCAACACAAGGGACGTCACGCCGGCCACACCCACCCTGGCCACGCCCACCCCAGCCCCTCGAGGTCAAACACAACCCTGATGCGGCCCTCAACGAAATCGAGTTTCACACCCTGGACCAGACATGCCCAATTCCTGCAACCATTCTTCATACATTTTAGCCTCCGGGGTGGATAAACGCCTTGCCTTCCATTTACACAGCCCTTTCTCAATCTGTCTGCATTCTCCCTGCCTTCTCTCTCTCTTTGCATTACATTCCAGAGCAGGACAGGCCAAGGGAGTTCCTCCCACGAGGCCTTTTTCAGACTGGGAAGTAGAGGCAGCCAAGGCAGGCTATAGAGTGGCAGACGCATCCCTAAGGCCAACCCATATTTCCAGTTTATCCCAAAGGCAGCACCCATTCTCTCTCTCTCTCTCTCTCAGCCCAATCCATTGGCAGGTTTGTTATTGTGAGAAAAGCAAGAGGAGGAAGGAGTATAAGATATGGTTCCCCCACCTTGATGTATTAACACAATAAAGATGGAATATAAATAAACTTCTATTATAAACAAACTTCTGCAGCAATTGGTTTGCCTGCTGCAACTCAGTCCTGTGTCAGCAAAGCTCGCCACTCCAATCAGCAAGTCTGCTTGTGATGGGAACTTCTCCTCCTGCACAATATCACTGATGAGACAAATGCAACATGGAGGCTTTTTGGTTTGTTTTAACAAAGTCAGAGCTAAAAGAATTTTGCCACTTTCTTTTCTAGCCCTTAAAAAGAGAAAATGGTAAAACTCTGGTGTCTTTGTCTTTCTTTTTCTTCTCTTTTCTCCTTTCCTCTCCTCTTTCTCTTTCTCTCCCCTCTCAATTATCCATCCTTCCATCCAGTCCACAAGGGGTAAAACAGACAATTCCACCCACCGGAGACCCTGGTAAACTTTTTTTCATACAGAATCAAGCCATCGGTATGATGAAAGGAAAACCAAAGGTTGAAATCTGGAAACGGATGTATCAAGGCAACTTCATTGCCACCTAATTTACACACAGCAGGTAAGCCGCCAAGGTTGCAGAGCAGAAAAACTCTTGTAGTTAAAAAAAATAATAAATTGTAGTTTGTCCTTGACTTACAAACAATTCATTTAGTGACCATTCAAAGTTACAACGGCACTGAAGAAAGTGACTTATGACTGTTTTTCACACAACCATTGCAGCATCCCCATGGTCACGTGATCAAAATTTGGCCGCTCGGCAAGTGGCTCCTATTTATGACGGTTGCAGTGTCCTGGGGTCATGTGATCCCCTTTTGCAAGCAAAGTCAATGGGGAAGCCCAGATTCACTTAACAACCATGTTACTAATTAAACAACTGCAGTGATTCACTCAACAACCGTGGCAAGAGAAACCGTAAAGTGAGAGCAAAATTTACTTACATCTCGCTTAGCAACAGAAATTTTGGGTTCAATTGTGATTGTAAGTCAAGGACCACCTGATACAATACCATCACCACTCCAACCAGCTACTAAATTCAAAAACACCAACAAAAGAAATGTGATAGAAATTCTCAGCCAAACTGGAGAAAACGATAAGAGAGAGTCTTCTCGTTTGCAGAGAGAAAAATGTCCCAAAAGTGGGAATTCTTATTTTAGCATTCTGTAAGCTGCAAGAGAATTGAAGGAAGAAATAATATGAACTTCATATTATTAGGGTTTCCTTCGCTGAATCTAAGAAGCTTCATCAATGCTGTTATGTGCTGTGCGGACAAAGAAAACCTACCCTTGCTAAACTTGCTGGAAATAGAAGAAGGGAAAGATGAGAGATAAGGAGAACAGACTGGATCAAATACATTACAGGACCGCCCTTAAGCAAAGCACATGTTGCACCTGGAAATAACTCAAGTGGCAATTGATCTCTCAACCATGATGCTACCAGGAGTCAAATTTGATTCATTGGAATCTGCCTGATTATGACATCACCTCTTGCACCGACCTACCACATAATTATGCCCTGGCAAGCTTTATTTTCTCCTTTGTCCCTGGGATATGACCCTTTTCTCACCTCCAAGCCATTAGTGAACCTCTCTTAAGCTTAAGAGTCACTGGAGATGGGCAGCAAACAAATTTAACGTCGTGGCCCACTGAGGCAGGCCGAGCTGGCAGCAGAGTCGGACAGTAGTGAGGAGGTTGGGGAGGAACCCGGGCCAGTCCTGGAGGCTGAGGAAGGCTCGGACGAGGGCTCTGCATCAGAGGCAGACATGGGGCCAGGGCAGGCTGGCAGTCATCAGCTGCCTTCGGGCTCGGACGGGGGAGTTCTGGAGGTACAGTTAAGAATTCAGGGTTAAAAGAGAAGCAAAAGGGGAGGGTTGATAAAGGTCTGAGCTCATTAGTCTACCTTCGCAAGGCTGTTTGCCAAGCCGTTGGCTGACTGTGAATGAAATAAATTCACATTAATGTAATAAAAGAGGGTTTTTGTCGAGACTCCGAATTGACTTAGTGCTTTTTGGGGAGGCCTAGGACAGAACATTTAATAAATTTAACAAACCAACATTACAACAATACTTTACCCCCAATTCCATCATGACCCAATGGTAGCTTCAAAAGTGCATAAAATCACTTAAGCCTGTCACCCATAACCTTGGAGCGAGTTCAGGTGACCTCAGGGAATTGGGAACAGAGACAAGTTGGAGTAGAAGAAGGATTATAACCAGGAATAGCTAATCTCATGCTGGTTTGGTCTGCAGTAGGATTTGATGCATGAGAGAACCATGTAACCTTGACCCATTTCAGAAAAGTCAGAGGAAAACATAATGCAGATGTGTTATAATGCAAGATTCTTGGGACCTTTTGTGAAGGACCAGAAATGACAGCCAGTTTGGTCTAGTGGTTAAGGTACCAGACTAGAAAGGAGGAGACCCTGAGTTCAAGTCCCATCTTAGCCATGAAAGCCAGCTGGGTGACTTTGGGTCGGTCATTCTCTCTCAGCCCAACCCACCTCACAGGGCTGCTGTTGTGGGAAAAATAGGTTATAATTCTTCTTCTACTCCAACTTGTCTCTGTTCCCAATTCCCTTTGCCACCTTGAGTTATTTGTAAAAAA